TGCCGTTGCCGTTGGGCCGATCACACTACACGATTGCGGTTGCGATTGCCGCCGACACCTAACCTCCAAATATAGGTTTATGCTCTCATATATAAATTGTAATAGGCGGCATTAGAAAATATTTAAGCGTCGACTGAAATCAAATAATACTCACTAGTGAAATGGGGACCAAGAGCACGAGCCACTTCGGCCCAAAGAGCAGGTTTCAGGTCCGATCTTTTGAATTCTAGTAAGTTGGGGTTCCACAAAATGGGTCTCATCTCCACCTTACGTATTAGTTGGTGTTCGTTGTCGGTAGTGAACAAATCCTTATTTTGTTTAGGTGGCACGTTAGAAAATAATAATATCTTCACGCAAATGTGAATATATTAATTATTATTTCCCAACAGCTCGCACCTGCTAACACAAAGCCTCGACTAGCAGACGATTCACGGTTTTCGCGGGAGAATCTTGGGGCCACGTGACACAAAGCTGAGCTGTGATTGGCTGCGATTGCGATTGCGTTTGGAAAAATAGCCGGGCGGCTATCCTTGCCATCGCAACCGCCAACGTCGGCTGCTGCGCTCTGATTGGTCGGGACGGCAACGGCAACGGCAATCGCAATCGCAACGTCAACGGCAACCGCGCGTGTGATACGGGCTTAAGACAGTCAACGGCGGTCATACTTCGGGCGCGCCAGGGCGCGACCGAGAGGGTGATGGGGGCAAGGAGGAGGAGGAAGCACTGAAAAAAGTGCATAGTTGGGGTAACCGGCACATTTGCCGGTTGAGGGTGTCTAGTTGGGAGAAACACTCAGTCTGGTCAGTGAGACCAAGTGGCAGATAGTGGAACTGACTCGTGTGGGTACTCTGGACCCAGTCGCGCAGTCAGAGCTTTCGGTTCTGTGAACTACGAACTGGGATGCAGTGCCGACCCCGGCTGGCCCAGGGTCGTCCCCCCTCCCCTCCCGTACCTGCCTCCCCTCGGCGCGCTGCCGCCGCCGGTTGCTCCGGGGCCCCGCGCGCTGGGACATGTGTTCGTTGTCCTGCCTCCTCCCTCCCACGCGCCGCGATGGCTTGGGGGTATCGCGGAGGCCCAGTAATGGCAAAGTCCGGGGTTCAAATCCCGGACGGCGCCAGAGCGAAACGGCCTCTGTGAGGTGCCCGTCGGAGGGAGGGGTGATCAGTCGGAACGGAGGGGGTATCCTGGCGGTAACGCTAATCGATTTCTATTTTCTTTTTGGACCGTTCAGACTTGGTTGTCACAACTATCTCTGTGCGGTCACTGTAACCAGACGAGTACAACCCACAGTGTGGGTTCTCCCAACCGAGTTTCTAGTGGGTCGGAAATTAACCGCGCGGCTCGGTTGGGGGAACCGAGTTACGGGTTGACTCAACCGGCATGTTTTTTCAGTGAGCAGAAGAAGGCCGGAATTGCGTCAAAGGCGGCTTGAGTCCTCCGGGACGCTATTGCAGCTGTAGCTGGGGGGCACTTCAAAAAGCAACAAATGACGAATCATTCCGGAATGAGCCGGTCCGGCCTGGCCTGGGCCTGTGGCCTGGGCCGGCGCGGAGCGCACGTAACCCTTCTCCTTATTCCGATAGACAAAAGCAGCCGGCCGGCCAGAGTAACGACCAAATAATGAAGGTGCCTACAACACATCCCCGGCCTGTTCCGGGGCTGCTGCGGCCCGCCTGGGCCCGCCTGGGCCCGCCCGGCTGCATGACATCCGAACGACCAGATTAAATATGCTTGGCACGTCAGCAGCGCGCCCGGCCCAGCCCGGCCTCCCGCCCGGCACATGTCCCCGCTGACCCATTTCCCTACGTCGATTAACGTCCGGCGCTCAGAGCAAATAACAGCGTGTACTACATACTGCTTACGCACTGCCAGGCGGCGCAAGTGCGGGGAGCACCGCATCGCCACGGGATGCGGCGGCTGAAGACAAAGCGAGACTCACCTGAGGTGAAGTTGGCCATGGGCACGCCGCCGAAGGGTTCGGCCACCTCGGCCCCGAGCCCGTAGATGCCGAGCAGCTCCCTCATGGTCTTCTCGGCAAAGTCCTTCATGGCGGACGCACTCTGGTCGCCGCCCTGGTGCCTCCGGAAGGCCGCCGCGGCCGCCATCTGCGCCGCCATGAGCGGCGTGGCCATGGGGTTGAAGGCGTCCAGCCCGCCGGCGCGCGACAGGTCCGCGGCCAGCACGTCCTCCGCCGACGGCGAGGTGCTGCCCGGGCCGCGCGGGCTGCCGGACAGCACGTCGTCGGGTGCGCCGAACACTTGCTGCCGCCCGAAGAGCCGGCTGTCCGAGCCGGACAGATCCAGGCTCGAGTCGCCCTCGGCCGCGCTCGAGCTGTCCCTGTCCAGGTGCCGCACGTGCGCCCGCGGCTTGAGCAGGTGGTTGCGGCTGAGCATGGAGGCGCTGGGGACGCCACCCGCTCCGCCGCCGTCGCTCAGGTTCACGTCGGAGCTCTCATCTTCCGGGCCACTGTTCAGGTGGTGGAGCGTAGGGTACGACGACCGACTGTCGTCGTCCTCGCCAAATGCTGAGCTGTCGTCCTCGCCATCCTGACCAGGGGCCGCGCCCCCCGAGCTCAGGTCCAGGGCCCCGAAGCGCGGCGCGGGGGAGCCGCCCTCCTCGACGGCGTACCTCTTCTGCGGCGCGAACAACGGCTTCCGACTGCGCCTCTTCATGCCCGCGTGCACGGCCATGTCCATCCCCATCGCGCTGCCGAGCGCGCCGTGCTCGTCGCCGTCCGAGTCGGAGGCGGCCCCGGGACCGGGCAGCCCGGGCAAAGGCTGGGGGTTGTTGTTGGCGCCCTGCTGCTCCTCGTCGTACAAGATGTTCCTGGGCTTGAAGTTCTTTCTCTTGTTCCTGCGCGGCTCGTCGTCCGCGCAAGGCTGGCGTGGCGCCTCGTCGTCGCCGTCCTGGTCGGCCTCGCCGTCGGGACCGTCGAGGCCCTCCGCTTCGCCCTCGGCACCGCTGCAGCCCTCCTCGGCGTCGGCGCCGTCCTCACCCTCGGCGTCCTCCTCCTCGCAGACCCCGTTCATCCCGGCAGCATCTGCAAGCACGAAGGAAACACAGCGTTATAGAGGCGAAAGAGTGCAGCGTTATCTGGCGGGGCCCCCGGCAGGTAGGCAGCCGGGGGGCGCCCGTGTCGGCGAGCGTGCCTACCGCCGCGGGCGCTCCCACCCGGCGGCGCTGCCAGCGCGCGCCACGCGCCGCCACACCCCACCGCGCCCGCCCGGCGTCACCCACTCGTCAGCGGCTCATCGCCTCGGCACGTCCGCCACCCCGCTGCTCTTTACGCAAAACACGCATCCTCGCGGCCAGAAAGGGGGGAGGGGGGGGCTGCGAGGCGTGCGAGCCGAGGCACTCCATCAGCCCGCAGGCCAGTGCCCGCCCCGCCCAGCCCCGCCGCCGGCCAGCCCAAGGGCGAAATCATATAAGGCGGCGACACGTACGCGAGCCTCGTATTATTTAGACAGTTTGTTTTTACGGCACGCAGGCGAGGCTGCCGAGCGAGTAATTCTCAATAACAAAACATCAGTTTCCCGCATCGCATAAAACTGACGACAGCGCGCCGGCAGCAGCGGCCGGCCGGGCCCCGGGAGGCGCGCCAGCAGCCCTCTCTCCTCCTCGTTCCCTCAGCTCGCCACGTCGCCGTCCACAGGAGGGCCGCACCCAAACAGAAGGTGACGGAATATCCATAAAAGGCATAAAACGAAACGGTGATCTGGCGCGGGTGCCGCTGGAGAATAATCCTGAGCTCACGCCAAAAAGGGGTTCGGTAGGCTGAAGGAGGAGGCTTGGTCACGGTAGGGGGCACCATTTGCAGCAGAATGTCCCCGCTGTAAAGCGGCGCACATTGAGACGGGGGGAGGGGGGGAAGAGGTAGGTGCACAACGCGCGCACCACTCCCCCACAATCAGCAGGGCTCCGCGACAAGTGGCCATCCATCGCTAGGGCCACCGCAGGCGCGTTGGAAGCGCACACTTCGGGAAGTCGTGAAGTTGCGTGAAAACGACGGGCTGAAATCTTCTATTTTCGTACGCAGTCGTCCTGTTCCCGACAGTGCGGAGCGAGGGGCGGTGCGGATACATGATAGGGCGACGGACACGGCCCTCGAGTGCCCAATGGCGAATAGAGAGGGACTA